TTTGGACATTTAAGAGATGATGAACAATTGCACTTGACATGATGTCACTTTTACTACAAAAAATAGAACTGATCTTTCACTATGCAATTCCCAGGCAACTGCACAGAACACCTTAGCAACCACATAGCAACACCCTAGCAACAACACTCCAGCATTGTAGAACTGGAACACTCATACTTTCTTCAAACCAAGTACAGAAACAACATATGCTGAATATTAAGAACTTGAGTTAAGGGAGACCGGGGCTAGTTGTCACAAAGTCTGTATGTCAGAACGTATATGATTTTGAGTCAAAATGACTGGTAAAAGTTGTGTGAGGATTCTGCAAAACACATTTCGTATTGCATCTTTAGAGTCATAACAACATGATGGTATAAGTAAATGATGCCAGAAATGCCATTTTTTGGGCGGACTGTCACTTTAAGAGTTTTGGAGCTTACAAAAACTAAATGAAACTCAAGTTTATTCCACATTCATGAATATAAGCTGTATTAAAAACCGCAGACCCACAGCACTCTGTACTATTTCACATTTCACATCTCATATTCACCTGCTGGAAAACAACAGTGCAGAGGATGGAAATATCAATCAGACATCAAGTGTTTTCGAGCTACTTTGTCATGTGCCACCATCCGTGAGAGAGAGCTGACAAATGAAAACAGATCACCAATCACTGACACAGCACTGCCAAACCTCACCAGCGCTACAGATGAGGAACAGCTCCATTTCAGCAGGAAAAATGGCTGAAACAGCAGAGAAACATCTTGAGAACTCAGTAGTGGTAGAGAGTCTCTAGTTAGCATTCAAAATCACTTGGTTGTAATTATGGAGGACTGAGAGTGACACTTAAAAATAAAAAAATGGATTTAAACAAATGTTATATATTTTTTTACAGTTAATACATTTTTAAATTAATAAAGGAAGACATATTTAAAACAGTTTATTTAGTTAATGTTTTAAAAATAAAATAATAACATATTAAATAATTCTTAAACTTAAAAATAGACTAATTTAAAACAGTCTATTTAATTAACATTTTAAAAATAAAACAATTAAATATTAAATAATATTTAAAATAACTGGAAAAATTAATAAAGAAATTTAAAACCTTTTACTTAATGTTTTAAAAATAAAATAAAAATGAAATAAAAAAAAAAAAATCAAATAACTGGAAAAATAAAAGTAAACAGCTTTACTTTTATTTTTCCAGTTAGTTTTTAAAAAAATTGTATTTTTATTTTATTTTTTAAAACATTAATTAAACAGGTTTTTAATGTTTTAATAATAAAATAAAACGATGATATATTAAATATTTTTTTAACTAATTGGAAAAATTAAGACAAAATTAAAGCTGTTTGAGTTAATGTTCGAAAGCAAAATAATTTATGAAACAATTTTTCAACTAAAATGGAAAAATAAATGGACAAATTGCTATGAGCTATGAAAACATACTGCAACATTTAGAAAACTTCCTCCCCAATATAGAGCATTTATAGAAACTTAACTGCAAAATCAACTCATTCTAGAGGCTGAGGAAGAATTTAGCATTCATAATTAATAATGCTTTTGGTTTTGTTTTGCCAAAGTGTCCACTGAGGAAAACCCAGTGGATGAAGGGTGTACAAAAAGAGAGAATAATGGGGGAAATCCAGCTTAAAGGGTTAGTTCACCCAAAAATTCTGTTCAAAAATTCTGTCATTAATTACTCACCTTCGTGTTGTTCCAAACCCGTAAGACCTTCGTTCATCTTCGGAACACAATTTAAGATATTTTTGATGAAATCTGAGGGCTCTCTGACCCTCCCATAGACAGCAAGGTAACTACCACGTTCAAGGTCCAGAAAAGTACCAAGATGATCGACAAAGTAGTCCGTGTGACATCAGTGGTTCAACTGTAAAGTTACGAAGCTACGAGAATACTTTTTTGACGTCAAAAAAGTGACGTAATGATGCCGCCACACGCTCGCGTCATGGTACTGTCATGAACGCGCGTCCAAAGTGACGCAGTAGAGACGAAAATGTGGAATAAAGTCGTTATTTTTGTTTTCTTTGCACAAAAAAGTATTCTCGTAGCTTCGTAACTTTACAGTTGAACCACTGATGTCACACGGACTACTTTGTCGATCATCTTGGTACTTTTCTGGACCTTGAACGTGGTAGTTACCTTGCTGTCTATGGGAGGGTCAGAGAGCCCTCAGATTTCATCAAAAATATCTTAAATTGTGTTCCGAAGATGAACGAAAGTCTTACGGGTTTGGAACAACACGAGTGTGAGTAATTAATGACAGAATTTTCATTTTTGGGTGAACAAACCCTTTAAATTGAGCTTCTCTCACACATGAGCACATGTCTCCTAAACATCTCAGCACTTTATTCCACTGCTAATGAAATCATCCAGGAACGAAATCTCTCTCTTTCTCCACACTCTCCTCCTCAGATGATGTCATTTCCCTGAGGAGTGTTTCAGGCAGACGGGATGCAATTCCTTTACTCGCAGCGATGCTCTGTGTGTGTGTGTGTGTGGCCTGTCGAGCAGCAGTAATAAGACATCTGTCCCACAGCACCTGCTTTCCACATCAGGATGCCAGCGCTCTCATTAACGAGCCGCACCAGCCGTAATCACTCCTGACACACAGCACATACATATGCGCATATTCTAAACGCAGATATAAGAGAGCGCAGGGAAGTCAATATTCCCATGGATGCAGGACAAACCTCAAGTCACAGCAGGTTAAACTCAATTCCAGAACGAAATGAGAGAAACAGCTGGAAAAGTGTAGAATAAGGTTTTTGTTTAGTTTTCAGATTGTGTGATTTTAATGATTCAGACTGGTTTCAAAGTTTTACTATTTATAGTTTTGATGCAACGTCACACCTGGAGGGCAAAACCAGGCCAATTATTTGTACCAGGTTTGTTATAGGTACTAATGTACCAGAGTTATTATAGTTAAAAGCTAAAAAAGATTTAAATTTTTTGGGACAAAATTCATGTTAATAAAAATAAAATAAAATGCATATTAAAACATTTTACTTGAGCTAGCTGCAATGCAACAGTTTTCATTTTTGTTTAGTTCAAATTGATTAACTTCTATTTTCAGTCTGTTTTACTTTCTTACTTGGCTACCCTATTGAAAAATAAATATACTTAAATTTTATGCCATGTATACTACAAACACATTTTCTTATTTATGTACTTAATAAAATGCCCATGTAATTGTACTTTTGGTATACTAACTGGTATACTTAAAGACTGCTAAATTGTAACAACTAATTTTGTACTTAATGCACTTTAATTGTGCAGAAGTAGTGCTGAAATCCAATTAAAGATATACGTAGTGTATTTGATTGTGCTAAAGTGAAACTATTGCAAGTATACTTCAGATACACTTTAAATATTTTGCATTTAAAGACCGATATTATTCAAAGATCATACAATATTCATCAAAAGTGACAAAGTTTCATTATAATTTTTATATCAGTAAGTCTCGAGTTATCTGTCAGTAAATATGTTAATAGATTTGAACTATATTTAGTATGAAATAAATGTATTTTAAATATATTACTTTTTTACTATAGGGTAGTCTTTCTCTCTTCTGCTGTTTTTTTTCTTCCTAATTGTACAGCACTTTGGTACAACATTTGTTATTTTGAAATGTGGTATATAAATAAACTTGAACTTGATGAAAATAACAAATCAAATAAACTAAAACTATTAAATAAAATGAATAAACACTATATTAAAAACATTTTAAAAAACAAACAATCATTAAACAAATACACAAATAAAATCACAAAATTAATACAACAGAAAATATAAAAATAAAATCTAATTCAAAATATTAACAAAAACCAACATATCAGTGATACTAAAATAACACTGTAATGTGTTATTTGATATTAAAGTGACCTACAATAAAGGGTTTTAAATATTTTTTTTTTTTAGAAAAAAAAAAATTAATCTAAAAAAAAAAACTAACTATTAAAATGACCTATAATAGAGAGTTTTTTTAATCTGACTTTTCGCTCTCAAAAAATTGGGAAAAGAAATGGTCAAAATTTGTAGATCCTTTCCAAAACACATACGTGTTGAAACTTTGCATGCACATTCATGACCCTAAATCAGAAAAAGCCACTCGATTTTAGGAAGAAATAAAGTGTTTAAACAGTGTTTCAAACAAATGTGGATCAAACAGACCAAAACTAAAAAAATCAAGAAAAATCAAGGTTAAAGTTCAATCGCAAAAGTTCCAGCTTCAAAAAGGATATAATTTTCATATACGAATAGTGCAAAAAAATGGCTGTTATACTTAAAAACAAATAACAAAATCCACCAATGGAACAGAACAAATGCATCTGTATTAAAGACGCTTTCCCTGAAAGCAAGTCCTGCTGTGCAGCTTGGCTTCTCAGGTCAATTTTTTCTGTTTTAAGGATGTTTAGATGTTTAGATGTTGCTGACTTAGAATAAATTGTTCACACTAACCCCAACCACACAAATCAGATGGTCAGTGACTATGAACCTACTGTCTGAGGCTATATCAGAGGAAACTTTCTAAAAATTGGAAACAGAAACGGAAATAGTGAAGAGAAAACTTATATATATATATATATACACATATATAGCATATAGAGAATGCAATTTAGGTCCATTTTTGGATCATTGTGACATGATTTTCATAACAATGAACCACATATTCTCATGAATTCAATGCAAAAAACGTTACATTTTTAAGTATTTTTACATTATTTTATTTTTATTAAAATAATGCTCTTTTGAATTCAAAATTTGAATTATGGTAATAATAATTGTAATGTGAATAAATTGTAATGTAATAATTGTTTGTAAAATAAAACATCTTAGTATAATTAAGATACTATTACAGTTTTTATTAATATTTTGAATTAGCTTGCATTAGTTGAATTTCTATATTTTCTGTTTTCATTTTCATTTTAGTTAAAGTTTTAGTCATTTTTAATGTGGAGTTTTGTCATTTTTATTACTATTTTTAATTTGTCTATATAGCTTTTATTAATTTGAATTGTTGAATTTTTATTTTCTAGTTTTTATTTATTTAGTTATTTGTATTTTGCATCAAGTTAAACTACATAAAAATGAGAAATGTTGCTTTAGCAACTAGCTGAAATAAAGTGCATTTATAATTATTAATATAATTATATATATATATATATATATATAAAATTACAAAAAGTTTTTTAATGGTTTTAG